ATCCCATCCCATCCCATCCCATCCCATCCCATCCTTGCTTCCCTTCCTTCCCTTCCTCCCGTCCTCCCTTCCTTCCTTCCTTTCTTTATTCCCTCCCTCCCTTCCTTCCTTCCCCCCATCCTCCCTTCCTACCTTCCTGCCTGCCTGCCTGCCTGCCTTCCCTCCCTCCCGTTTATTTAATTTCTCAACTGAAGCTCTCTTCCTAGGCCTGCTCCTCTCTCTGGAAACAAAGTACAGCAATGACGTCTATTTCTGTGCAAGGACAGCTGAGCGGTCAACTCGATCGCATAGGCTTAATCAGCTAATCTTTTTCAAATCCTATGATAGCCTTGGGGAAAAGAACCAATTAATATTGCTATAGGTGGATTATTTTTAATGCCGCCCCTTTTTATTTTTGCAATAACTATTAAAACTGTTGCTTTAAAGTATTTCATGAGGGATGAAGAAGGACCTTGTTTGTGATGGAACAAAGGTGCTTGAAAACATGTGGCAGAGATCAAAATGGATGGAATCTTTCTTTCCGTACGTCCTGCTCTCAAGATGTTTGCAGTACGGATCGTGGCAATCACTTGTAAACCTCGTAGAGGTTTCAACTTGAGTTTGGAGATGCTCTTGCGGGAAGGCAAAGGAGCAGGGCTGGAATCCTGAAGTATCTGCCTTTTAGAATAGGGAGGAAAGTGCCCAAGATGGGAAACCACTGAAAGAGCAGAGGCTGGGGAGAAAGTTGGAAGGCTCGGAAGGGGAATGACATCTTGGGAGCACAGGGGAGTGGGATTGGGCCCCCAGCTCTTTGGCTCGGATGAGCTCCATGAGATGGACCTTCTCCCAGTCCTGAGAGCTCCTTTTGCTGGTCCGGCCTGGAGATCATAGAAACATAGAAACAGAGCGAGTCAGAAGGGGTCTCCCGGGCCATCTAGTCTGACCCCCTGCTCCAGCCGGCTCTGCTCATGACATGCCCACCATGTGCATGTCCAGGCTATCTGTCTCTCTCTGTCTCTGACTCTGTCTCATATATGTAAAATTTCTATACCTTCCCATTGTGGAAGGTCTCTGGGCTAGTGAAATTTTTGTGCAAGACTCAGAGTTCTATTCTAGGCCCAGAATGCTTCAAATCGAAGCTTCTTTTGCAACAAGCTGCAGTTTGTGCAGCTCTGGATTTTGGAGAAACAGAAACATAGGAACAGAGCGAGTCAGAAGGGACTTTCCGGGCCATCTAGTCTTTTCCCCGGCTCCATCCGGCTCCGCTCATGACGTGCCCTCCATGTGCATGTCCAGCCTATCCTTGAACAAATTTTCTTTTCCTCCCAGGCCTTTTGCTGACCAACTTCCCCCTCTGGGGGAGGAAGATGAGGATGTTGCCCAAGAACGGGTCCGGGTGACCAGTGATGTGCCCAAGAAGGACATCCTCGTGCTGAAGGATCTGACCAAGGTGAAGTGTCTGGGGAGGGGCACGTGAAGCAGGGTGGGCAGCCAGCTGGGAGTGAGAGGAGCCCGGGGCGCACCCCTTGCCCACCGCCCGCAGCTGCACCGGCACTTGTCCCAAGGCGTCCACTGCTGGTGTCGGCTGCTGGTGTCCCAGGCCAGGCCTTGGGGCCCTTTCCCACAGCCCTGCGAGGCAGGACAGCAGCTTCATCCCCGTGTCGGGTGTGCGTCTCGGTCGAGCTGGTCTGGGAGCACAATTCTTGCAACACACCTTCAGCAGGGCCCCCTCAGCCTTGGGTTGCGGTCCCCCCACCATCTTTGCCCCAGCACTGTGCACAGACCTTCCGGGAGTCCTTAAGCCGCATGGGCTGTGGAAACTGTAGAGGCTTGTTTGGAGAGATGCCTTTACCGCCCACAAACCGGCTTTGCTTGCTCTGCCGACCCTTAGGTCTACCGGAAGACAAAGAAGCCAGCCGTGGATCGCCTGTGCCTGGGAATCCCTGCAGGAGAGGTATGGTGAGCTGCCATCGGGCTCAGGACAAAGGGCCATGCAACCCCCGTCTTTGGTTCCCAAAGATCCACACGCCTTGGATCCTTTTTGGAAACAAACCATCCAAGGAGGCTGAGCATCCAGAATGCAAAACGATTTTCCCCGGACATGCAGCCACCGCAAGAAACAACTATAAAATACTTTGATGGGCATAAACCACTCAGCCTATCCATTAACGATCCCCTCAGATGCGTGGAAGGGAAAGAAACGCTTAACTTGGGATTAAGATGACAGTTTAGCACACAGCAACCCTCAATAGTTCCTGACTGGGGGCTGCCACAGGCTGGCGCCAAACATTCCCTGGAAGCTGCAGTGGGGAAGCGCCAGAGATGCAGGGCCCAGAAGACAATGGCCTGCCCATGCCCCATCTCATAAACAGGGGTAGACTGCTCCTGTGCATGGCGATTCCATTGAGTGGCTCTCTTAATGGAATATCCATCCGCCAATCCATTTTTGTAAGATCTGTGGCGCAACTTATGGAACGTGCTCCCCGGAGAGGTCCGCCTGGCGCCGTCGTTATTTGTTTTTCGGCGCCAGGCCAAGACCTTTTTATTTAAACAATATTTTAATAACTGTTAATATTATTTATTGGTTTTAATTTTTACAGCCAGAGTGAATCTTGATTTTAATATGTATTATTTATATGCTTGTTTATTTATTCTGTTGGAAGCCGTCCCGTGGCTCATGGGAATGGGACGGCATACAAAAACTCCAAATAAACAAATCAATAAATAAACTGAGCTTTTTAATTCCCCATTCACAGTGTTTCGGCCTCCTGGGTGTGAATGGTGCTGGGAAGACATCGACCTTCAAAATGCTGACGGGAGACACGGAGATAACTTTGGGAAGTGCCTCTCTGAAAGGCTACAGGTTAGTGCTGCGAGTTTTTTTGGCAGGACAGCATTGAAGCTACGGAGAGGGTCCATCGCTTGCATTGGTTTGCTTCCTGGGGTCTTCTAGTTGATGGAGACCTTTAGAGGCACTGCCGGTCAGAGTAGGCTGCATGGAGGTAGGTGGGCCATCGCAGGAGTTCCTAGCCTGTTATCCTTGCTCCTTGTTCATCAGCAAGCTTCCTTCAGTCATGCATGCATTTCCCAAGTTGTGCTCTCCCTCCATTTATTCTGCACTGCTGCCCAGAGATCTGAAAGAGCAAAATTTCCCTCCTTTTAATTTCCCTCCCAATGAAGTGACTCTTTGCTCATTTTTGCATGTGGATCTCTTCAAACCGCTGCTTCTCTCTCCTCCTCATCTACACACAGTGTGCTCAGCGATCTCCAAGCTGTCCACCAAAATATGGGCTACTGTCCCCAGTTCGATGCCATCAACAACTTGCTGACGGGCCGTGAACACCTCTCCTTCTATTCCCGCGTGCGTGGAATCCCCGAGAGTGAGATACCTGCGGTAAGCAATGCATTTTCTTACAGAATACCCTCCCGGAAGCAGCACACCTGGCACATCCTTGACAATCTTTTCAGTGCCAGGCCAAAACAATAGTGTTCTCCAGACATTTTAACAACTGACCTTATTTCCTATAAACTGTGATGACTTTAATTTTATTGAGTTTTAGAATTTTAGAATTTTAACCTATATGATTCTAACTTCTTATGTTACAGTATATCACAGAAGTGAGTACACCCCTCACATTTTGTAAATAGTTTATTATATCTTTTCATGTGACAACAATGAAGAAATGACACTTTGCTACAGTGTAAAGTAGTGAGTACACAGCTTGGGTAACTGTGTAAATTTGCTGTCCCCTCAAAATAACTCAACACACAGCCATTAATGTCTAAACTGCTGGCAACAAAAGTGAGTACACCCCTAAGTGAAACTGTCCAAATTGGGCATTATTAGCCATTTTCCCTCCCCGGTGTCATGTGACTCGTTAATGTTACAGGGTCTCAGGTGTGAATGGGGAGCAGGTGTGTTAAATTTGGTGATATCGCTCTCTCTCTCTTGTACTGGTCACTGGAAGTTCAGCATGGCACCTCATGGCAAAGAACTCTCTGAGGATCTGAAAAAAAGAATTGTTGCTCTACATAAAGATGGCCTAGGCTATCAGAAGATTGCCAAGACCCTGAAACTGAGCTGCAGCACGGTGGCCAAGACCATACAGCGGTTTAACAGGACAGGTTCCACTCAGAACAGGCCTCGCCATGGTTGACCGAAGAAGTTGAGGGCACATGCTCAGCGTCATATCCAGAGGTTGGCTTTGGGAAATAGACGAATGAGTGATGCCAGCATTGCGGCAGAGGTTGAAGGGGTGGTGGGCAGCCTGTCAGTGCTCAGACCATACGCTGCACACTGCATCAAATTGGTCTGCAGGGCTGTCGTCCCAAAAGGAAGCCTCTTCTAAAGATGATGCACAAGAAAGCCCGCAAACAGTTTGCTGAAGACAAGCAGACTAAGGACATGGATTAGTGGAACCATGTCCTGTGGTCTGATGAGACCAAGATAAACTTACTTGGTTCAGAAGGTGTCAAGCATGTGTGGCGACAACCCGGTGAGGAGTACGAAGACAAGTGTGTCTTTCCTACAGTCAAGCATGGCGGTGGGAGTGTCATGGTCTGGGGCTGCATGAGTGCTGCCGGCACTGGGGAGCTACAGTTCATTGAGGGAACCATGAATGCCAACATGTACTGTGACATACTGAAGCAGAGCATGATCCCCTCCCTTCGGAGACTGGGTTGCAGGGCAGTATTCCAACATGATAATGACCCCAAACACGCCTCCAAGACAACCACTGCATGCTAAAGAAGCTGAGGGTAAAAGTGATGGACTGGCCAAGCATGTCTCCAGACCTAATCCCTATCGAGCATCTGTGGGGCATCCTGAAATGGAGGGTGGAGGAGCGCAAGGTCTCTATCATCCACCAGCTCCGTGATGTCCTCATGGAGGAGTGGAAGAGGACTCCAGTGGCAACTTGTGATGCTCTGGGGAACTCCATGCCCAAGAGGGTTAAGGCAGCGCTGGAAAATAATGGTGGCCACACAAAATATTGACGCTTTGGGCCCAATTTGGACAGTTTCACTTAGGGGTGTACTCACTTTTGTTGCCAGCGGTTTAGACACTGATGGCTGTGTGTTGAGTTATTTTGAGGGGACAGCAAATTTACTCTGTTATGCAAGCTGTATACTCACTACTTTACACTGTAGCAAAGTGTCATTTCTTCAGGGTTGTCACATGAAAAGATATAATAAAATATTTACAAAATGTGAGGGGTGTACTCACTTCTGTGATATACTGTATCTAAGAATATCTCGGGGAAGGGACACAGTAATTATGGGGGATTACAGTCTCCCGGATATTAGTTGGGAGACTCACTCGGTGGTGACAGCCAGGTCACGTCACTTCCCAGAAGCTATAGAGGGAGGGTTTTTCACACAGAGGGTCCGAGAGGCGACGAGGGGGGGAAACATCCTTGACTTGGTCTTGCCCAACAGGGAAGAGCTGATAGATGAAGTACAGATTAGGGGAGCTCTGGATGCGAGTGATCACTCCATCCTTTGCCCTGAGATCAGGGGACTGGGGACGTGCAGCAGGTCGAGCACTAGAAGCTGGGACTTCAAGAGGGCCGGCTTTGGCCAACTGAAGGCCAGACTGGGGAAAGTCTCCTGGGACAGGTTACTGGAAGGCAAGCGAGTTGAGGAGGGGTGGATGGCACTCAAAAGGGAGGTTTTGGAGGCACAAGCCTTGACGATACCTCTAGTCAGTAAGGTGGGGAGGCGGAGGAGAGTGCTGCCATGGATGCGAAAGGAGGTGGTTAGAGGAATTAGACGCAAGAGGAACCTCCATAGGAAATGGGTACTGGGGGAAATAGACAAAAGGGTATACCAGGAGGAGGAGGCCCGTTGCAGAAGGATTCTTCGCAAGGCTAAGGCTGATGATGAGCTGAGACTTGCCAAGAGTATCAAGAGCAACAAAAAGGGTTTCTTTCAGCATGTAAATAGGAAGAGGAAGGGGAGACAAGTGGTGGGACCACTAAATAAGGAGGAAGGAGATCTAGTGACTGATGCGAGGAAACAGGCACAGAGGCTAAATGACTATTGCCTCTATGTTCTCCCAAAGCAGGATGGGGGAGATCCGCATAGGAGATTAGATGAGGCTGGGGACTTAGGGGCACGGATTAGTCACCCCACTAGAGGTTGAGGGGCTCCTCAGGGCATTGGACATTATAAAGGCACCAGGCCCTGACGGGTTACACCCGAGAGTACAGTGGTACCTTAGCTCATGAACACCTCAGTTCATGACCAAATCGGATCACGAACAAAAATTTCATAAAAATTTAGACTCAGGTCACAAACTTCGCATTGGGTGGTGACCGTGATCGTGGCCATCTCTGCCCCCCCAAGTGGGGAGATGGGTGCGATCATGCTGGGGGCAGGGGTGGGGAGATGGCCAAGAGCTCGCCTGTCTTTCCTGCACAAGCGCAACTGCAATCTCGGCCATCTCCCCCTCAGCATGATATTCTCTTCTGTCCGTTTTGATTTGATTCACATGCACAAGTACTGCCTGGGTGTTGGTAACACAAAACACAGAAAAGAATTTGCAGTAATCCTATGTAAGCTTACATCAGGATTGCTGCTGATTTTATTTATTACTTATTCAATTCATTGTCCCAAGGTATAAAATACCCACCTGAGAGCAGCCGCATTCGCACCCATCTCTCCCCCCCAGCACGCCCTTGATCGTGCCCATTTCTCCCCCCACCGAACGTGCCCGCATTTGCACCTGTCTCCCCCCCCCGCCCCCCCAGCGTGCCAGATGACAGGTGCTTGCAGGGATGACGGGTGCGATTGTGGTTGTGCTGGGGGTTGTGGGGAGATGGCCGTGATCTTTGTTGTTCTTTGCCACTTTGCTTCACTTTTTAAAATTAAAACAGAATGGATTAACCTTATCTACATTGAACCTTATGGGGAAATTTAACTTGGCTCATGACCAATTTGGGTCACGACCAGAGTCCTGGAACGAATTAAGTTCATGAGCCTAGGTACCACTTTACTTTGAGAATTGGCAGGGGCTCTCTCACGCCCGCTGGCCTCCATGTTTGAGGCCTCATGGAGAATTGGTGAAGTTCCAGAGGACTGGAGGGTGGTGTCAGTGGTCCCAATTTTCAGAAAGGGTAGTAGAAGGGACATGGGGAATTATAGACTGGTTAGACCGGTTAGCCATTGTAGGAAAAACAATGGAAAGGCTCATAATAGAGAGAGATCTAGTGATGCTAGACAGGGAAGGCAGGCTGACAACCACACAACACGGCTTCCGCAAAAACAGGTCCTGCCAGACAAACCTTGTGGAATTCTACGAGAAGGTTTCGAGGTGGCTGGATGGAGGGGATGCAGTGGATGTGGTTTACCTGGATTTCAGCAAGGCCTTTGACAAAGTGCCCCATGATATCCTGGTGGAGAAACTGAGGAGTTGTGGGATAAACCAAAGCACCGTCTGGTGGATTAGGGCATGGTTGACTGACCGAAAGCAGAGGGTAACCATTAGTGGGGAATCGTCGGGATGGTGGCCAGTGACAGGCGGGGTCCCCCAGGGCTGTGTCCTGGAGCCGATCCTGTTTAATCTTTTCATAAATGACATGGAGGAGGGGTGAACAGTCTCTGATCAAATTCGTAGACGACACTAAAACTGGGGCAGTGGCCACAACTGAGGAGCAGGTACCCCTGATCCAAAAGGATCTGGACAGACTATGCAAGTGGGCAGGAGACAACAGGATGGCGTTCAGTGTGGATAAGTGCGAGTTCTTGCACTTGGGGCATGGGAATGGGTGCCATAAGTACAGGTTAGGGGACAAGTGGCTGGAGAGCAGCACTTGTGAAAGGGACCTCGGGGTGCTGGTTGACTGCAGGCTGAACATGAGCCAGCCGTGTGATGCGGTGGTCAGGAGGGCGAACGCCACCCTTGGTTGCATAGTCAGAAGTGTGGCTTCTAGATTGAGAGAGGCGTTACTACCACTCTGTACGACTCTGGTGCGCCCACAACTGGAGTATTGTGTTCAGTTTTGGGCCCCTCATTACAGGAAGGATATAGCCAGGTTGGAGTCAGTGCAGCGCAGGGCCACAAGGTTGGTGGCCGGTTTGCAGGGGAAGCCGTATGAGGCGAGACTGAGGGAACTGGGCCTCTTCAGCCTGGAGAAGAGGAGACTCAGAGGGGATCTGTTGGTGACATGCAGGTGTGTGAGGGGGTGTCACACAGAGGTGGGCAGATACCTGTTCTCCCCTGCAGAGGAAGGCAGGATGCACTCCAATGGAGCAAAGCTCAGGGAACCCAGGTTCCATTTGGACTTCAGGAAGCATTTCCTGACAGTTAGGACCCCGAGGGCGTGGAATGGGCTTCCACGGGAGGTTGTTGAGGCCCCATCGGTGCGGGTGTTCAAGGATAGGCTGGACATGCACATGGTGGGCATGTCATGAACAGAGTCTGCTGGAGCCGAGGTCAGACTAGATGGCCTGGGATGCCTCTTCTGACACACTCAGTTTCTATGTTACCATCAAACTCTCAGCTGTATACTGTGTATATTGTGGTAAAGGATGTTTATTTTTTGTTTATATTATTGGCCTATTTTGTATTATGCATATTCTTGTTATTTATTTATTTAAAACTTTTATAGGCTGTCCCTTATGCTTGGCCTCTCAGGAAAGCTTACAATCAGTATATATGTTACTGGTATATATGTTTAATTTTAAGTATTCTTGTATTCTGCCTTGAGAGTCTAGTTGGGATACACATTTAATAATACAGATACTTAAATTTTCTTTTGTGGAAAAGGCAGCACGACTGGAAGCCAAGATGTGGTCAGCCAGCATGCTCAGGTGTGCAGTTGTCTCAGTGCATGGTAGAGGCCCTGTTCTCTTCTCCCGCACAGGTGGTTAAGTGGGGGTTATCGACGCTTGGCTTAGTGCAGTATGCGGACAGGCCGGCTGGCCGGTACAGCGGAGGCAACAAACGAAAGTTGTCCACAGCCATCGCGCTCATTGGAGCCCCACCTGTGATCTTCCTGGTGCGTTAACGGAGGAACCACTTCCGGACTGTTCTCTTGGTGGGGCAGCCCTACAGCTTCTTGCTTAATCTTACGGCCTCTTTGCACCCAGGACGAGCCGACCACGGGGATGGATCCTCGGGCAAAGCGGTTCCTGTGGAACTGCATTCTCTGTGTGATCAAGGACGGCAGGTCCGTGGTGCTGACTTCCCACAGGTAAGAGGAAACATGCTTTGAAGGGAAGCTTTTCCAGGTCTCTGGAGGGAGGCACCTAAAAATTCCCATTGCCACGCCTTGAATTTCGGAGTTCTGAATATAGAAGCAGAGCGAGTCAGAAGGGGTCTCCCGGGCCAGCTAGTCTGACCCCCGGCTCCAGCCGGCTCCACTCACGACATGCCCACCATGTGCATGTCCAGCCTGTCCTTGAACACCCGCACCGATGGGGCCTCAGCCACAACCTTCTGTGGAAGCCCATTCCACACCCTCGGGGTCCTGACTCTCAAGAAGTACTTCCTGGCATCCAAATTGAACCTGGGTTCCCTGAGCTTTGCTCCGTTGGAGCGCGTCCTGCCTTCCTCTGCAAGGGAAAACAGGTCTCTGTCCACCTCCGTGTGACATCTCCATGTGACATTTTCATACATTAAAATGCCTGAGCAGCACAAGTTGAATTATATAAGCTCAGAGAACTAGGTTTGGGGGACATGCAGAACAGTAGAAGAAGAAGAAGAGGCAATTCAATTAGTTGCAGGTATTATAGCCCGAAGTAAAGGACTAATATGAAGTGATATTGAATTAAAAGAATTAAGGGAAGGAGGTGATAATCTAGAGACATTTAGTGGTACCTCGGCTCACGAACTTAATCCGTTCCAGGACTCTGGTCGTGGCCCAAATTGGTTGTGAGGCAAGTCAAATTTCCCCATAAGGTTCAATGTAAATCAGGTTACCCCGATCTGTAACTATTTTTCTTAATCAATGGGAAGTTGGGCACGATCGTGGGCGTGCTTGTGGGGAGATGGGTGCGATCGTGATCAGCACCCAATGCGGAGCTTACGATCCGAGGAATTTTTTAAATGAAATTTCTGTTTGTGACCTGATTTGGTCATGAACTGAAGAGTCCGTGAGCCGAGGTACCACTGTACTGCTTTAAAAAGGACATAAAAAGATAGAAACAGAGCGAGTCAGAAAAGGGGGTTCTCCCGGGCCATCTAGTCTGATCCTGGCTCCAGCCAGATCTGCTCACGACATGCCCACCATGTGCATGTCCAGCCTATCCTTGAACACCCTCACCAATGGGGCCTCAACCCCCTCCCGGGGAAGCCCATTCCACACCCCTGGGGTCCTGACTGTCAGGAAGCGCTTCCTGGCATCCAGACTGAACCTGGGTTCCCTGAGCTTGGCTCTGTTGGTGCCTTCCTCCGCAGGGGAGAACAGGTCTCTGCCCACCTCCGTGTGACACCCCCTCACACACCTGTCCAAAGCAGAGTGCTAGGATTTTTCCATTGCTCTGTTGTTTTGACCTCTGCTATATTTGTTTCTTCTATCACATACTTTATTTATATATTTATTTTATTTTATCGCAGAAAGGCCTCAGGATGGCTTACAATATAACAGTATGAATAAAATCCCTGACCTACACTGGCTGCAATTAAAAACATAGAAAAAACAATATTAAAACTTATTAAAATACCGCTGGAATAAAAAGATCTTAACCTGGCGCCGAAAAACATATAATGACGGCGCCAGGCAGACCTCTCTGGGGAGTGCATTCCATAGGTGGGGCGCCTCCACAGAGAAGGCCCTCCTCCGGGTATTCACTCTCCCAATATCTTTCACGGAGGGCTCCCAGAGGAGGGCCTCTGCCGCTGATCTTAGAGGGCGGGAGGGCAAGTATGGACGCAGGTGCTCCTTTAGGTAACCAGGTCCCAAGCCATTTAGGGCTTTATAGGTAATGACCAGCACCTTGAATTGAGCCCAGTCTTCGATGGGGAGCCAGTGAAGCTGGTAGAGGACTGGGGTTATGTGAGAGTAACTCCCAGTCCCCGTCAGCAATCTGGCTGCTCTGTTTTGCACCATCTGAAGTATCTGGACTGTCTTCAAGGGCAGCCCCATGTAGAGCGTGGTACAGAAGTCCAACCGGGAAGCAAGCAATGCATGTGTCACTGTCGCTAGGCAGTCGTCTTCCAGGTAGGGACGCAGCTGATGGATTAACTGAAGCTGGAGGAAAGCGCTCCTTGCCATCGCCGACACTTGAGCTTCCAAAGTCAGCTCCGGGTCAAGGAGCACTCTCAAGCTGCAGACCCTGTCTTTTGGAGGGAGTGCAACCCATTCAGGACAAGGTCCAGGTCACCTACCCAGGAGCTCGATCCACCCACCAACAGGACTTCCGACTTGTCTGGACTGAGCTTCAGTTTATTGGCCCTCATCCAGCCCATTACCTCGGCCAGGCACCGGTCCAGCACAGCCACTGCCTCACCTGGATTGGTGGAAAATGAGAGGTAGAGCTGGGTATCATCAGGGTACTGATGATTCCACAGCCCACACCTCCTGATGACCTCTCCCAGTGGTTTCATGTAGATGTTAAATAGCAACGGGGACAAAATGGACCCCTGCGGTACTCCATGGCATAGCTGCCATGGTGCAGAGCCACAGTCCCCCAGCACCACCTTCTGGAAACGGCCGTTGAGATAGGAGCGGAACCACTGCAACGCGGTGCCTCCAACCCCCAGTCCCGCCGGCCTATCCAGAAGGATTCCATGGACGATGGTATCGAAAGCTGCTGAGAGGTCCAGAAGAACCAACAGGGACGCACTCCCCCTGTCCTTCTCCCTGCACAGGTCATCGTACAGGGCGACCAAGGCAGATTCAGTACCGTACCCGGGTCTGAAGCCGGACTGAAAAGGGTCCAGATAATCAGTTTCATCCAAGAGTGCTTGGAGTTGTTCCGCCACCATCCGCTCCAGCACCTTGCCCAAAAACGGGATGTTGGCCACCGGTCTATAATTGCTGGCCATCTCTGGATCCAGCGACTCCTTCTTTAGGACAGGCCTGATTACCGCCTCCTTTAAAGGAGCGGGCACCCGGCCGCCCCTCAGAGAGGCGTTGACAACCTCCAGGATCCAGATCCCTATCCCGTGTTTGGCTTTGGTCAGCAGCCACGAAGGGCAAGGGTCGAGTAAGCAGGTGGGTGCACGTACTTGTCCAAGCACCTTGTCCACATCATCAGGCCGCATTAACTGAAATTCATCCATGAATACCTGACCAGACGGGGTCATTGGTGTCTCCCCTAAGGGATGTGAATCAATTGTGGAGTCCAGCTCGTGATGAATCTGAGCGATTTTCTCCTTGAAGTGCTGGGCAAAGTCATCACAGTGGGCCATCGATGGTGGTACAGGATCTTTCTTAGGGCCAGGATGTACCAGCCCCTGCACCACCCGAAAGAGCTCCGCTGGACGGCACTGTGAGGAGGCAATGGAAGTGGAGAAGAATTTTTTTTTATAAATTTTATTTGAGATTATCCTAAAAAAACAAAAAGAAAGCTACAAACAGCATCCAACATCAAAAACATCGAGCCCACTGGGTCAGCCCCACACCCGTCTTTTTCCATTTGTGATAACTTAAAAAACGTATTTAAATCTATGCCAAGTCCTGTTTCTCTGGCCAATAATAAAAAAAGTCCCAAGTTTGATAGAAGTTGGAGAAGAATTTCTTCTTCACCACCACAGCATAGACTTGATAACGAACTTCTGCCCTGATTCACAGGATGATTCTTACACATTCTTTTTTTCTGAGTTCTTTATTTCTCCCTGAGTTTTGCCGTTCCTGCTATTGCTTCTTAATGCACTGATTCCATCATTTCCACATGTTCAGTAGAAAAGCTATGCATGCATAATTTACCATTGCTTTCTTCCCCTTCTCTGCATAAACGATGTGCATGTGTGCATTGATGAAAACACTGCAAGGATATATTCTTTTCTGTCTGTTTTGATTTGATTCACATGCACAAGTACTGCCTGAGTGTGGATAACACAATACACAGAAAAGAATTTGCAGCAATTCTGTGTAAGCTTACATCAGGATTGCTGCCGATTTTATTTATTATTCAATTCATTGTCTGTGATTAAAATAGTCCCAAGGTACAAAATACCAATAAAACAACATCACATGATAAAACATATAACAAAATATTGTTTTGCAGTGTTTTTTCCTGCAATCATAAGGTAGCCAGGAAAGAAAGATACAGATAAAATGTGGTAGGCTGGACATATTCTAGTTCCGGAGTTTATTTTGAAAATGAAGGAGAATGAAGTAGTAATGAAACTTGGCGAGGAGTGACTGGCCGTAACTCACGGCTTTGACCAGCTCTTGCTAGCCTGAAGCTCTAATCGTGTTTTGGACGGTTGGTTCCGCTCCAGGCCAGCGGGTTTGGAGAGAGAAAGAAAGGGAGATAACATTCGTTTTATTGGGAAAGTTTTCTCCTGGGACCTTTTGGAAAATATCTGAGGAGAATCAGCAGATCAGCAGCAAAACCCCTTGCGCTTCTGGTTCAACCTTGGGCTGTACATGCAGAAGTTCAGGCTTGTTGCCCTCATGCCTACGATGTGCAGCAAAATTCAGGCAGAAATTCTACCTGTGCCAATTAATTCCCCACAGTCCCTTTCTAGAGAAGCACCTGGTAGAGGATTCAGGGCTTGAGAAGAATGAGAGGGGCTGAGCTTTCTTTCCCTTTTTCTCTCCTGCCAGCATGGAAGAATGTGAGGCGCTGTGTACCAGGATGGCCATCATGGTGAACGGACGCTTCTGCTGCCTTGGGAGTGTGCAACATTTGAAAAACAAGTAATTTCAGCAGGCTGGGGCAGGCTGTTGGTGAAAGGTTGGATCTCTTGCGTGGATAATGCGTTGCTGACTCATGGAACCCTCTGCCAGAAAAGGCTGTGTGGTAGAACCAGAAAGGAATTTATTGTATTTCTATATATATATATATATTATTTATATTTATATTTTATTTCTATATATATATAGAACCAGAAAGGAATTTATTTTATTTTATTTGTTATATATATATATATATATATATATAGTGATTTATAGCCTGCCTTATTCCTACAAAGGGCTCAAGGCAGCTTACATCATTCTCCCATCTCATCCCCACAACAACAACCCTGTGAGGTAGGCTGGGCTGAGAGTCTGTGACTGGCCCAAAGGCACCCAGGTGGCTCCATGGCTGAGCGGGGACTAGAACCCAGATCGCCTGAGTCCCAGTCCCAGCTCTTAACCACTACGCCACACTGGCTCTCAAATTGAAGCAGGTGTCTTCCTTGATATCCCATTTGGGGTCTTTTTGGAGGCGTCTGGAGACTTACTGTTGGAAAGGTCAGGACTACTTGCACTGATCTGCCTGTCTTTCCATCTTCTTTCTTCCCAAGAGCAAAGACTTGCTGCCTAGCTCACAAGACAAAATTCTGCATAAAATCAGTATATGCTAATTTATAGATCTGAACCTAGAAATAATGACTCGGATTTTTAAAAATTGCACAGGCAGCAAGGGCCTGCCCTTTCATTTCTTCTTCAAAACTGCTCAGACCAAACAAATGAGGAAAAAACTTCCTCATTGTCAGAGCAATATGGCAGTGGAGCCAGCTGCCTGGAGAGGTGCTGGGCTCTCCACACTGTTGTTGTTGTTAGTTGCGAAGTCAAGTCGCATCTGACTCATCGCAACCCCATCAACAACATTCCTCCAGGCCCTCCTGTCCTCCACCATCCCCGGAGTCCACTCAAGCTCGCACCAACTGCCCCGGTGTCTCCATCCAGCCACCTCATCCTCTGCCGTCCCCTCCTTCTTTTTCCTTCCATTGTTCCCAGCATCAGGGTCTTCTGCAGGGAGTCCTTCCTTCTCATTAGGTGGCCAAAGCATTTGAGTTTCATCTTCAGGATCTGGCCTTCTAAAGAGCAGTCAGGGTTGATCTCCTCTAGGACTGACCGGTTTGATCGCCTCGCGGTCCAAGGGACTCTCAGGAGTCTCCTCCAGCACCACAATTCAAGGGCCTCAGTTCTTCTCTGCTCAGCTTTCCTTATGGTCCAGCTTTCACAGCCATACATTGCAACTGGGAATATACTGGATAGCCATCTCAGTGGGATGGTGTGACTTGGTGTTCTGCAACAGCTGGGGGTTGGACTTGATGGCCTTCATGGCCCCTTCTGACTTCCCTCTTCTGCGTTTCTCCCTGCCGGCCCTTTGTGTCTCAGCTACACCTGCAGTGACCTTGTCTCCTCTTCCCCGCAGCAAAATAAAATGGAGGACCAAAAAACAAAAACAAAACAAAAATGGGGAGAAAGGACAAACCTGGGAACTATAGACTAGTCAGTCTGATATCAGTTCCTGGAAAAATTCTGTAGCAAATTCTTTAAAAATCCATCTGCAAGCATCTTGAAGGATTAATAGACGTCAGCATGGATTTATCAAAAAGATATCCTGTCAGACTAATTTAATCTCATTTTTCAACTGGGTATCCTCCCAAATGGACAAAGGAACACTGTGGACATGAAAATTCAGGGCGATCTTGACAAACTTGAACACTGGGCTGAAGGCAACAGAATGAGATTCAGTGAGAACAAGTGCCAAGTCCTCCACCTAGGAAAAAGAAACCAAAGGCATCAATACATGATGGGGAACATGAGGCTCAACAGAACTGACAAAGAAAAAGATCTCGGAGTCATTGTGGACAACAGGCTAAACATGAGCCAACAATGTGATGCAGCTGCCAAAAGGGCAAATGCTATTTTGGGATGCATTAATGGAAATATTACTTCCAAATCACGGGAAGTAGTAGCTCCTCTATGCTCCTCATTAGTCAGACCTCACCTGGAATATTGTGTCCAGTTCTGGGCACCAAGATTTAAGGAAGATGCAGGTAAATGAGAACAGGGTCAGAGAGGGCAACAAAAATGATCCAGGGTTTGGAAACACTGCCCTGTGAGGAGAGGCTGAGGGAACTGCCTTGTTCAGCCTTGAGAAGAGAAGGGGACATGATATCTCAAAGACTATCACAAAGAGGAAGGTCAAGCTCTCTTCTTGCTGATGCCAGAGTGTAGGACACAGAATAATCAATTCAACTTGTGATACCGCTGATTTGGGCTGGACACGAGGAAAAGCTTCCTCACGGTCAGAGCAATATGGCAGTGGAACAGCTGCCTGGAGAGGGAGGTGGGGGGCTCTTCCACACTAGAGACATTCAAAAAGAAACTGGCAGAGTGGGATGGTGTGAACTGGTGCCCTGCAAGAGCAGGGGTTGGACTGGATGGCCTTCATGGCCCCTTCCAACTGCACCATTCTATGATTCTGTGATTCCATGAAATGGTTTGGTTCACATGCACCCAGCCCTAAATGGTCCCAAATGAGTGGCAGTTTTTCCTAAGTTTATTGCCTTGCAGGAAAAAATTCTTGGGTGGGTGTAGCAGCATGTGGGAGGGCGGGAAATTAACTCTTCCCTCCCTACATGCAAAACCTCCTTAAAAATTGTCTCCTGCATGGTATTTATGGTGAGAAAAGAATCCTGAAATCGGCACCGATGCACATTGGGGGCCCTGGGAAATAGACTGGGTGCTGAGCCCTGGCAAAGCTACTTGCTGCCAGATTTTAACCCATTTCATCTGACTGACTCTAGGTTTGGAGACGGGTACACCATCATCCTTCGTGTCTCTGGGAGCAACCAAGACCTGGACCCGGTGGAGAAGTTCATCCAGGACTCCTTCCCGAGCATTGTCCTTAAGGAGAAACATCACAGCACTCTGCAGTACCAGCTTCCCTCTTGCAACGTTTCCCTGGCCAAGATCTTTGGTATCCTCTCAGCGCATCAGAGCGAGTACCAAATTGAAGACTACTCTGTGTCCCAAACAACCCTCGATCAGGTAAGAAGCACCCCCAACTCATTTTAGCAGATTCTGATTCAGCATGCTTCCTGTGTTTGTGTGTGTTTGTGCGGGGGGTTCTGTATGACACCCCAACTGCCTCTGGATGCTTCTAGGGGTTAGGAAAGCATAGCTGGCTTATTCTGTTGTCTGAATCCGAGCAGCACAACAAGCCTTGGTCAAGCCAAGCCATGAAGCCCCGGGCAAGATACCACAATTTCTTTGGCTATGGGTCTCTGGCTGGCAGCTGACCCATGCACCAGGGCAATTACTCACGAGCCAGCCTGCTTGGCGTTGTGTTCACAAGAGCTAGGGAACCACTAAACCAGGGAAGTGGGCAGACATCTGGGCGGGCTTGGAGGGGGTGATGGGTGTCATGGTAGGCTGATTCGTCCCCCGGGCCTGAGTTTCCCCAGCCCTGCACTAAGTCTCCTTCCACACGCTCCAGATTTAATACCCCAAGTGACAAATCTGATCCTTGAATGGGAGCGTGTGCAATTTCACACCTGTGTGTAGGTGTGTGAACAGCTCCACCTCTTCTCTGGGCTTTGCTTCCACCCCAAGGTGTTTGTGCACTTTGCCAAGGACCAAAATGATGAAAAGCACCCTGGGGAGGCATCCCACCTGGAGCATGCCCACAATGCTTGGAGACGGATCCTGCCATTCTTGAACAATGAGGAGCAGCAAGAGAGCAGGGTCTGAACATCCAAGAGCACCTGCACCCAGGTATAACGAGCAGAGTCTCCACAGTCTCGGAGAGAGACTCCCATCCACATGCTGGACACCCTTCCGGGCAGGCACGACCTTTCTCAAAGAGAGAATGCAAGAACGGGGAATCTGGATTTGATCCCTCCGGCATGGTTCTGAACCGGGCTTTCTCGTCCCCAGGGCCGGGGAAGCACCTTTCCTTGTTCATGTCTGTGTTGCAACCAAAAGCTGCTTTCCAAACTGCTTTTTATTATCCACCCGTTTTGGCCTGGGGACCCTGGGTGTTGTAGTTCACCAAAGTGAGGTGGAAAACTTTCCTCTGCCTCAGTAAAGGGGTCGCAGGAAGGTGAGCGCTGAAGTTTGTGGGCAAACTATGCCCAACCCATTCAGTTTCTAAACTGGCTGACGTTTGCCACCTGCCCCCACCCCAAATAACCCCAAAACGCACGCTAAAGCCTTTCTTCCAGGACTGAGGGTTGTGGGCACTGTGCAACTTTGCTTCGCCTTGAAGCCACTCTAGTTTCTGCGCTGGTGAGGAGTCGCACATCGAGTTTCACGGCTGTCGTGCCGTGCTGAATGCCCCCATACCCTATAGGGTGGCCCTTGGCACGTTGCCTTCACAATTCTCTGGGGGAAACAGGAGTGTGGAAATGCAGCAGACAAGATATCCAGCTTTCTCTCTTCCTACGTGTCTTTATCTCAGGTAGAGAAGAGAGCTGGTTTGGCTTTTCCACATCCTCCCCTGAATTCTGCACACTTTTCGGGAAGGTGCGACTCAACAATGCATCGTTGCGTGTCTCTTTGAAGCCAGGCTGTGCAAGGTAGAACTAACTTGCTAGGATTTTGCAAGAGTAGACCCACTGGAAAGACCCGCTTTTATTTATTATTTATTTTTATTTTATTAAAACATTTCTATGCCGCCCCATTCGCCAAAGCCTCGGGGCGGCTTACAACATAAATTAAAATACAAGAGATAACAATATAAAATAAGTCGCCCTGGCCAGATAAAATAAGCGAATAATATTAACAATTAAAATGATGCTTAAATAAAAAGGTCTTCTGCTGGCGCCGAAAAACAAATAATGACGGTGCCAGGCGGACCTCTCTGGGGAGTGCATTCCATAAAGCTCTGAGTGGACTTCTCCTGTGATTCACGGTGCTTTGAGATGCTGGACTTCCAGGATCCAAAGTCCCGGTGCTTCTATGCTTCCTTCTTCTCCTTAATGGATTTCTCGTGGGAGGAAAAAGATGGGAGAAGCCAGGGGAAAAATGGAGAGTGTTCCAAATGTCATGTCTGGAGGAATCTGATTGGATTCCCTTGGCTCAGCTTCCCAGACTCGGGTCTGCTTTCTCATGGTTGTAAGTCAGATTTGGGAGCAGAAGCGTGTGCAATTGTACCTCTTCCACACATCAGACTTGTGCTTTGTTGCCTGTGCAAGCCACAGAAGAGATTGCACAACTGGAGTTCACAGACTTCCGCTAAGCAACAACTGAGGACCAAGGGCAACAGCTGAGGATAAGGAAAGACAGATTTGTGGAGGATCACTGTGACCTCGCCTGGTGCCCCCGAAAAATTCTGTGTATGAGGCAGGCAGCTGAACTCTGGAAATGCTTGCCTTTCCCTTCCTTTGCCTTTGTCCCGGCTGAGCCACACAGCCAAAGACAAGCTGCATGTTTGGATTCCAGCATCCTCTTTTCTGGAGAGTCCCTTGTTCTTTAAGGATGGAAGTTCACTTCTGCCATAATAATAATAATAATAATAATAATAATAATAATAATAATAATAATAATTAATAATAATCTGAAATAATATTTTTAGCACAAGGCGTACATGAATCAGAGTGAAGACAGATGTAACACTTTATTTTTTTATTTATTTTTTATTTATTTTTTAAGCAGAGAAGCCAATCTGTAAATGCTCTTTAGATGCCTCTCTCTCTCTCTCTCTCTCTCTCTCTCCAGAGCTGAGCTCTGTAGAACAACCTCCAATTTAAAACATTTTGAAGCCAAAATGGGCTCTGTGGATTACTGACAATTCCTGGAGCAATTTTGAACCTAACAAAAAGTTGTTTTCTTTAAAAAAAAATACGGCAGGTCACGAATGTACGCTTGGCACTTTGGGGGGAATAAAAAGTAGTCTACCTGGGGATGTGGGAATACAGAAGGTAAAACCAAACTCTGCACCAGTGTTCTGTGACTGGAGGGGCTAAAGCTGGCCAGGTAAACAGCCACAGAATGTATCCACATCTGATTTTCAAAATCCAGGGGCTGAGGTCTCCCATTGAGAGCTGTCTGCGTTGGATGCATTCTCCTGGTACACACAGAGTTGGAGAAAAGCATCCTTCCGTATGATCAGCAGCTCTCCTTTCCTCATGGTCGCATTGCTTATTCTGAGTCCACGCACCTGTTGCGTTTTCCTATGTCAATACATGGTAATATGGAAGAATAGTAATAATGCTGATAATAATAAACAATATTAGAGAAGCCTGTCTCACGTGTCATTTTTTCTTCTGGAACTTCTTCCTCAGCACGAGTTTAGGAGGCACCATTGCAAATTGGTGGGAATGGGAGACGACGGAAGTGTGAAGTTGTGCCCTGCGGGTGTTAGAGGATTTCACAGAAAGTCAGGCATCTGTCTGCATTTTTCACCCGCTGCAGGTGGCTTTCCTCCCCTTCCCCTCTCTCTGCCTGGATGTCTAATCCCTCATAAATCACTTTGCCTTTACCCATCTTTGGGATGAGAAGGGGTTAACCACTCCCTCCCCCCCTGCTTTTCCATTGGGTGCTTGGGAAGGTCTTTTCCCCTTTTATTTCCCGCAAAAGGAACCTGCCCATCAATTCTGTGGTGCTCCCTGCCCACACCGGCCAGCCCAAAGCAGGCTTTGAGTTGCTTGCCCGCTCCTTTCAGAAATTATCTGGCCCGCTCGCCCCCCTGCAGCAGCGAGGGAAGCTGGAGGAGCTGGGAAGGGGACTTTCGTGGGGGGAGAAGGGATCCCCAGGTGCGGCGTGGAAAGCAGCTTGCTCTGACTTACGGGCCATGGAGAAACCCCTTTTCAACTCGTCCCAAAACAAGGAGGAGCTCCACCCGCTCCATTACCTTAGGTAAGTAGCTGCACAGCACAGGATGATGGGTGGGGATTGCCATGCCCTCCCATCGCTCTCTCCCATCTCTTGCACCTCCAGCCCACTGAGGCACGAATCCGGGAGGTGCGAGGATGACTTGTGGGGTGGCCCAGGCTGCCCCATCCCAAGGTCCATCTGGAAAGTGCGCTGCCAAGATGCCAGCCTCAGGTACTCAGGCTGCGCAATGGGTGCTATTTGGGAAAGCAGAACGCGGTTGTGTCCTGCCTGGCTGTAGGGGAACCTGAAAAGAGCTGGAGGTGTTGAATGGACAGGGGTTAGCCGTGCCGGGCGCAAGGTCTATAAATCAGGTGCCCCGGGGTCAGGCTTCCTGCAAGCACCCCTTTTAGCAGGCGCATGGCCTACGCCGGAAGTGCAGTTTGCGTTCTGCACAGTGCAGTGGAGTGGAGGGGTTAGAGAGGGTTGTGCTGGTTCTGGGGAGGGGTCAGCAAGGCCAGACCCCGCTCCTCCTCCAGATTCCCTGTGGGCCAGGCACTGCCTCTAAACTTCAGTCAGCGCTGCCTGTTCTGCTCAGATGAAAGCTGGGACGGAAATAAAGCCTCGTCCTTCCGTGTGTGCTTCTGATGCTGACCTGCATGGGCACCTTGGCCGGGCTTTGCCCCAAGGGCCTCAGAAGCCAAGAAGTGGCGGCACAGGGTGGGGGGTGCCTTGTTGAGCTGGGGCAGAAAGCCAGCCTGGTCCGTTCTCCTGCATGAATGGGCACATGAGCAGCAGAACTGCTCCCTTCACAGCTGGTCTCCATAGCGACCCTGTGCACAGAACAGTGTGGGTGGAAGGTGACTGGAAGGTGAGGGGAGCTGCAGGTAGGTGTCTGTCTGCATGGGAGACCCTCTCCCCTGGTTCTGTGCCTTCCGTTCCCAAAGTGCAGAGTTGGTCCTTGAGTCTGGAGGCCTGATGTTGAACCTGCATCCAGGAAGCAGGTGTCCTAAGCATCCAGGCAAGAGCAGATCTTAAAAGCTTCATATGCCCAGATCCGATTGCCCCTGACTAGTGCAAAGACAGAAAGCTGTTAGATAAGGGTTTGATATCTCCCTGGGGGCTTGGAATGGTTTGCTGGAAACGTACTTTTTATGAAGTTACCACAATATTGTTATTAGCGTTGCATTTATATGTCAACATTTTTTCTCTTGCGAGGAACCCAAGACACGTTCCATAGTTCTCCATTCTTTGGTCCTCACAACAACCCTGCGAGGTAGGTTAGGTGCAGGGTGAGTGATGCATCCAAGTTTTCCCAGTTTCATGGCCAAGACGGGATTCAAACCAGCATCTTCTGGGTCCCCAGTCCAACCTCTTTGCCACCATATCACTCTGCACTGGTATGTGCGTTCAAGCTCAGAAGCTTTTATTTTTAAAAAGGGACTCCCATGCAGAAACTAGGTTGAAAAGCACATTCTTCTTCTTTAAAGCATGCTTAACGAGAGAGCTTTTCAGAAGGGAATATAACTTAGACGTATTTCGAACCCATGCCTTTGACAAAACTGCAAACTCAGTTCGGCTCCTTCACACAAACATCCCACCATGGCTAAATTTAAGCCAAGGTGGGCTACATGGTTGGTGGGCATGCATTTTGAACATTTATGCTTTATGCGCACATTGTCTGAATGTGGTGGCGTTAGCAAAGCACTCGTGTCCCACGGCTTCTGAGAACTTTGTGCACTGGATTAAAACTCACCTTTAATGTGTTTGGACAGTACAACAAGCTATTTTGACTTGAATAGTCCAAAACTGTGCAGCCCACAGTGGCTTAAATAAACCCCGACGGCCAGCAGTGATTATGCAAAGTTGGTTATTCCCTTTGAGGGGAAAGAGGTACCTGGAGAAACCTCCTCTGTAGGTCTTCTGGAGAAGAAAAATATCTCAAAAACAAGGTTTCCTGATTGTGCTCTTCATTTGTGGAAGAGAAATACAAACCTAGGTTCATTTGTGGAAAAGGCGCTCTTTACATGCTCCCAGCCCATGTGTTTAAGCACACAAACACACCCAAGGCAGTGTGCATGTCTGTGCATATTCAGGCAGTGTTTGGAAGTACCACAATTTCTTAAAATCACAGGTGGCAAACCCTGCCTCTGTATTATTATTTGGGGCAACAGGGAAGTGACTGCTGGGTGGAACTGAAGCTCGTGGCAGCCATCTCCCCAACCCCAAAGAGGCCTGTTCATTGTGGCTTTGTTCAAGTCTGCCTGGCTGGCTTATTCAAAGGCGCTTACTCAGCCGTTGCTGTGACAACAGCTCCAAAGAACAAGTTAAGTCGCAATGGCCATCCTCTCCCAAGGAGCTGGAAAGGATCTTCCGGGATCCATCCAAAAAGATGGAGAAAGAAAAATCCATCCATATTTCGGAGGGCTAGACCGTCCCACATTCAACAGCTGTCATTTAGCCCTGCCGATAACACGCATCTTTTTATGGGGTTAGCCTGAGCCCTGTTTCCAGAAGGCATCCCTCCACCTGTTGGATGGCATTGCATTCGTTATTCTGCCCCACCTTGTCCTCCTCACGATTCACGGTGACCTGGAAGGCATTTTCACTGCTAGCACGGCCACTGTGCCAAAAAGTGACCGCAGCTACTGTGTAAGAAATGACTTTAGGGTTCATTTAGCCGGTGTGGTGCCATGGTTAAGAGCACAGGACTGGGACTCAGGCGATCTGGGTTCGAGTCCCCGCTCGGCCATGGAGCCAACTGGGTGACTCTGGGCCAGTCACAGACTCTCAGCCCAGCCTACCTCTCAGGGTTGTTGTTGTGGGGATAAGATGGAGAAGGAGGAGGAGGATGTAAGCTGCCTTGAGCCCTTTGTAGGAAAAAGGCAGGGTATAAATCTGAAAATAAATACAATTTAGAGCTGAGACTTGTGGGACCTGTGGGGAAGGAGGGGAACCCTTCCCGGAGTCATGGATAAAGTGCTCCCAGACTTCAGCTTCGTGTGAGCGAGTCAGCGAGACCTTTCGGACAGTGTGTAGAGCCATACGGATTTGGTACTCATTGTGGTTATGAAAGATGCCCAGCTAATCTGTGGGGAAGATGCTCTCACCTGGGCCATGAAAAGAGAAGGGAGATGCTTTCCGACAAATATTCGCATCTTCCGCAAGAAGGCACATGTGCAAAGGCTTTTGCAAATTCTTTGGGACGAATGTGGAGTCCCCAGTGACATCCTGTTCAGAGGTGGCAACCCATGGCCCCAGCCAAATTTAGGTACTTTAAGGTGAGATGCTATTCTTTCCGGTGTCAGGCAAAACTCTTTTTATTTTCCAGTTATTTTAATGATTAATTGATTTTAACGGGGGTTTTAGTAAATGGCCGGACACTGTGGGGTTGGCTTTATTCTACTTATTTATTTTAAGCCATCCCAAGACGTTTGTAGAGGAAAGGATAGCAAAGCTATAAAATAAACGAATAAAATGAATAGTGAGCAGCAGAGCCAAGTGGTTACAGCTTCCCCTTTTTGTCCCGGCCTGCTTTTTCCTGCTGACCATGGAGAGTCATATGGGACATTAAGGGGCAGGGGGTGGGTTGAGGATTACTCCCCACAGTAATCCTTATGTTTTTAAACAAAAGAAAATCTTAATAATTCTCTGTGTGGAGGGGGTGACTTCTTTTCAGGAAGATGTGGAAAGGAAGGGTTAACTCCCCTGCACACGCAACGCAGCTGCGGCGAGCTGAAAGGGGCCTGAGAAAAAAAATTACTTCCCCCCAGCCCCATTCCCTTTCCTCCACAGTTGGAGCAATTTAACATTCAGAGTGGGAGTGTGCAAGCTGCCGGTTGCCTTTTCCTTCCTCCTGAGAAAGCACAAGCTGCTCCTTACGGGCGCATAAATTAACAGATGCAAATATTATGCAGATCTGCTCCCCTCCCGTTGTGACCATCGTTTAGTAAGCCGTTAACAAAATTCTGCACTGACACGGATCTTCAAAATCATTTACTCTTCAAATACCTTGTAACAAAACATGCATGTAAGAAACAAATGCAGAGCATAGAAAACATGGCAGTAACAAAAAGCAATGATGTATAAATGTTCTTAAAAGTGCAGACAGCAATTCCTAAAAAATACACATAAGCCGAACGCGTTAACAGTTTGGTGTTCATCCATGATGGTCAAGAAACTCTGTGCTATAAATCCTAATTGTAAAATCTTTCCTCAGAGACTGCGTTTGAATAAATGTGCATTCCAGGTAAGCAGTTGCTTGAAAATAGTGACGATAAAGGGATTTGGATAAGTTAGCAGGAGCTAAAAGATACTGGTAGAAAGGAAAAAGCTTTTCTTTTCTTTTCTATTCTATTCTATTCTATTCTATTCTATTCTATTCTATTTATTTATTTAAAACATTTCTATGCCGCTCCATTCGCCGAAGCCTCGGGGTGGCTCACAACATAAAATATAAAACATTCCAATATACAACAAATTAACAATATAAAATAAGTCGCCCTGGCCAAAATCTGCTCTACTAGCCCTAAAGTTGCTTCCAGGCCAAGCACGGATAAGTGTCTGAAACTCTCTGCGCAGTCATGGTCCACAACATCTGTGCTAAAAGCAAGTTCTTTAGACGTTTAGGATCCATGTGTAAACACCTGCACATCGCACCCCATTATATTCACGTGTCAACCCCAAACCCCTTCCCCTGCCCGCCGTAAACCTCTCAGCTTCTCTAAGTCACCTACCCTGACCTTACAGATTAATTTAGACTCCCTCATAAGCATCACTTTTCCAAAAGCAGCAGCAGACGGCTCATTCATAACTATTGGAAATATGAGTTGTTTTTCTCATCTATTTGCAGTGAGAACACTGACATATGTGAATAATTACTGCTCATTTCCAGTCGTCCCCCCCGCCCCCCCCCCCATCCTAGGATCTCCTGCCAGGGCGTTTGAAGCTTCCAGCCAGAAATCAGACAACCAAACCATTGTCTGAAAACCTGCAACACAGAAATTCTAGCCTGTTTGCTCATCCATGGAGCGATGGTGCTGGTTGAGATAACTCCCGAGTGGCTGGATGGCGTGGGGGGGGGGGGGAGACTGGATTGCTGATCCAGTCTTAATCCACAGAATCGATCCCTCACGGCAGGCAAATATTTCAGTTTTTCTACAGGACACCCACCACAACTGCAGGGCTGCTGCTACAGGGGGGTGGAGGGGGAGGTCCCTGGAACGTGGAGGTCAGACGCGTGGTCGAGAAAGTGGCATTGCTGCTCTTTTGCACACTGGGTGTGAGTCAGTTCTGACATGCCGGGGGTCTCCTCTTCCACAGCCAAGCATGTGCTTGTCACATTGCGCACCTGGCTGCTGAACGCCACACGCTGTGATTTTTAGCAGCGAAGGCAGTTGAGGGGCCGCATGCCCCTCTACAGCCCTCACGGATGCACCCCTGCTGCCCACATTGATCCACTTCTCCACCCCAACCAGATGGCTCTCACCTGGAGGGTCCGTTTGCCGGCTGCGGCTTTGGTCACCATGGGCGTATTCTCCACTCGCTTTTGGCCAGGAAGCTGCGCAAACAGAATACCTCGGAGGACCTTTTGAACTGTTTCTCCCCACCCCACTTCCATTGCAGCAGGACAGAAGCGATGGCTATCGAGCAAGAACTGCTAGAAGAGTTCCGGTTTGGACCGCAGCAGCTGATTGAAATCTGCGGCCATGCCTCTGCCATGGCGGTCACCAAGGTGAGTCTGCTGGGAGAGGATACAGAGTGTGATCCATCGCCACAGGCTCTGGGGCACTGTGGGAAACTGAAACCCTTTCGGTTTCCCATAATGCCCCAGAACAACTCTAAGCTTGCAGCATCCTGAGAAATTAACCTGGTGAAGCCGATGGGATTTTGATTGCCTCGGGGAGAGTTGAGGGTGTGGGGGCCACATCCAACCACGTACCAGTCTGGTTTTTGAGGGTTCTACAAAGGATGACAACGCTTTTCTCTTAGCACTGGTGGTGAGCTCCTTTCCTGCCTTTTGTTCATTCTAAAAGGTTTTGATGATTCTCCCATGGCTTATTTACTGGCTGTAGGCGTTTTAAGCTAAAACGCACTGCTATTTCACCCCACCCCCTTTCTTTTGCTTTTGATTCTCCCCACTTCATCCTTCAAGATCCACTCCAAAATAGAATTTGACTGAAAGAGTCTCTCCATCCCTGCTGTACATTACGAATCTTGAGTTTGCTCACGTCATTTTCTCTTTCTTCTCCTGACATCTTCCTTGCTTTCCTTTCTTCTCGAGTTTTTCCTGTTCTGAACATGTGCAAATTTAAAAAGCACTCCTGTTTTGAAGAGATTCCATCTCTCTCTCTCTCTCTCTCTCTCTCTCTCTCTCTCTCTCTCTCTCTGAATGGAGGTTCTTTTCTTGCGGTTGCTGCTCACACATATGAGCATCAGAGTAATCTTGACTTAAACATGTTGCTGTCCACAAGGGAAAATTAACCGAAAGCAGTGGAAGATGACAAATCTTATATTCTCAGATCCGTTTAAAATCCATCCTAAATTTGGTGGGAGTGGAATGCAGGACTGACTGAAATCCCAGATTTTTGAAAGAACAAAATGAGGGAAATCTTCTCTTCTCTGCCCCTTTTCCCAACCTAAACATGGTGCGACTTTCCTAAGAGGCATGCCCGGTGACACCCATCTCCCGAAATCAGAGGCACTCTTCCTAACCTGGTGGGCCCCAGGCATTTTTGACTGCACGTCCTATCATCCCAGACTATTGGCCTTGCTGGCTGGAAAAGATTGAAATGGAAAACCCAAATGTGGAGGGTTCCAGGTTGGGGAGAAGTGGGCTATGGGTTTCGCATGCAGCTAAAGCAGTGTCAAAGGTATGTCCCACCATCCTGTTCTCTTTCTCCTCCCTGCAGCCTCCACTGCTAAGCCCAGGAGCCCTGTGGGTTTTTCTGGACTCCAGCTCCAATCAGCCCCAGCCACCACAGGCACAGGTCTGGAATGCTGGGGTTGTCGTCCCAAATATCTAGGAGGTATCAGGTTGGAGAAGGCTGGGGTAGGAAGCAGTTGCCAGTTTCCAAGAGATTGGGCAACTGCGGTAGGACAAGTCAGCCGAAGGGATTTGGTGTCAACATTGTGCCACATAAAGTAGACAATCGATGCTTCCGAAGACAGCTGTGTACTGTTTGCACATTTGTTTGTTTTTCGTCTTCTTGTTCCTGGGTTCATATTTTATCTCTCACCCAAGTAAGACTGTCGTTGGAGCACTTAATGCTTCTTAAATCCCGTGGCTTTGGCGTGGTTCTGTTCCTAGCATTTGCTGTTCCTCTACACAGGGGCTTAAATGTCATTGAATATGATGCCGAGCCACCAAGAACTCACAGCAGTGTGGGCGACAGGCAGAAACTGCAGCTGCAGACTTTTCCTCTCCGCCCCAGAACAATTCCTTGGGGTGCCCTTGCCCAAAAGCAGACCAGAAATGGGGGATGTTTTTGTGATGGGGTTGTGGCCCCAGTGTCATCAGCCCTGGCCATGGTTTGATTGCAACTTCCTGCCCCCGCTAAAGCTTGCTGAACGCTTTCAAGGGCAGCCCCACATAGAAGGCGTTTTAGGTCCGCAAAATGCATTCAACTACAGCCATGGTCCGATTGGGTATCCCCCAGGAATGGGGGCGCTTGACATTCCAGCCCCCACTGTGCAAATGCAGACCTGGATGCCCCTTGGACTGGAGCCTCGGAGTCCAGCGCTGCAGCCAAACAGTGCTCCTGTGTTCTGGGGGCAAGTTCAAGATCCTCAGCCAGCGTTCTTCATAGCCGGAAATCACATTCATGTGCATCTATGCACCTTGTGTCCCCTGCTGACTGCTGCATCGTTCTGCAACCTGAGCTCTGCTGTGCGCTTTCCACACCCTTACTTTGTGACCGTCTCTTTTCAGGTTTTCCCGCGATGGTCCCTGCCGAAGAAACAGCCGACTTTGTTGGTGGTCTGTGGTTGTGAGCAGAACGGAGCGATCGGCCTGGTGTGCGCCCGGCATCTGCGTGTGTTTGTAGGTACCCCTTTTGTGAGTTCCTCCGTCGGGATTGCCTCAGCTGGGTGGGGAAGCAGGTTGTCCTGGAACATGATGGGCTTTGGAGTAGCTGAACTGCCTTCAGGCAGGAGGGGGAGTTATGAAGGTATGGGCAGGAAAGATCTGCTCTTTCCAGCCCAGCTGGGGAAGGGAGCCTTGCTCTGTACTCGTGCTTTTAAAGAAAAGCAATTCTTTTCCTTAATCCCCTAAGCAAATAGAAATGCGGAGCGGAGCTGTTGTGCTCTTGCACTGAATCCCCGCCACCCGTACCATTTTCCTGGAAAAAGGAAAGAACTGAAATGTTCCCCCAACACGTCTTTGCAGCTTAATTGTCCAGCATGGAAAATTGCACCTTTCATTCTCTACTCAGGTTTAGCATTATTCTAGGTAATGTGAAGCTCCAGGTTAGCTTATGTCTTTTTCACACATTGCTTTTACCTGAAAAGAATATGCCGGTGTTTGAAATAAATAAGAACACAAACAAATCAGGTGGAACCTGCTCTCATACTCACTGGATCATCATCGGAGTAGTTCTTCCATTTTCGTTGGATATTTTGTCGGGTATTCTTTATTGATTATACAGGGTGTCCCAAAAATTTGACATTATTTGAAATATGAATATCTGAATAACTTCAAGTCCTAGGCAAACAAAATTAAATAGGTTTCATGTTGAACAATAGAAGATTTATTTATCAAAATTCAAACAAGAGATTCAAAGGGATGTAGGTTTTATAACTGGTTTCACAAAGCTTCACAGATGTTCAATATTCCCCCCGCCAGCAACACAACACATGTCAAGTCGGTAGTCCACCTCCTGCCAAACACGCTGTAGCATCTCTTGTGTAACTAACATTAGTTTTATTTATTTATTTATTTATTTATTTATTAAAACATTTCTATGCCGCCCCATTCGCCGAACCCTCGGGGCGGCTCACAACATTAAGTTAAAATACAAACATTAAGTTAAAACATTAACTTAACATAACATTAAGTTAAAATGTTTGTAAAATACAAACATTAAGTTAAAATACAAGAAATAACACACTTCGTTTTTACACACTTCGTTAAAATTTGAGATCATTTGAGCAAGAATTGGCTATGTTATTAGACTACAAAATGATGTCAATTTTTGGGGGACACCCTGTATTTACAACCCAGTTTTCCTCCATGGTGGGGTTCACGGTGGGGACATGTGGCTCCCAGGGGTCTCCCCTCCAAGCTCAGACCGGGACCTGCTTAGTTTTAGAGGAGGTCGATGCCTGATGCCCCTTCAGACCAAGGGACTAGTCAGCGGGATGAATGTTGACATCCTTCGAACCTGGAGAAAAATGCTGGCCAACATTGATTGTTTGTTGCGGGGAAGGTGATACAGGCGGGATTGCCTCCCAGGGGAGCTGAAAAAAGCCCTTGGGTCTTGACCGGAGTCACCAAACAAGTTCTCCGCCTTTTTCTAGGATTTGCATTTGAATCTCTCTGAAAGAAATTCAATGCCGTCTCGCCAAAACACACCAGTGCATGCTACAAATCAGGTGTTTAAAAAAGAAAGAAGATGGAGGAGAGTTTAAACGCAAACAAATTCTCCGTGTTCCGCAGAGTTCAGTCCTAAATTTATCACAGGCTTTCACATTTCAAAGAAATCTCTTTTCTTCTGCATTGCTATTGCCTACAAATTGTTTCTCGCTAGACCTTTTCTACTTGATGTCAATTTCACCTGCACTGAATCATAGACCCATCCCATTTTCTGTGAATCGGTTTAGAAAATTGCATTGAAGTTGTACACAGTTTCCTCTTCAGACAAGCGTGCTTGCAAGCCAAGCATTTGGAAAAGATCATTCTGTGAAGGAGCAAGACATTCTAACCTGTATATTTGAGAAGTGCAAATTTGCTCGATGCACTTAAACATGTGAATGGAAGAAAGTTCTCCGGCATCCTTGTATCCCTTCCTCCTGTCTCCACTTTGTCTTGCATTAAAATGTTTTTTAAGAGTTTGCTTCATCTTTCACTCACATGGGAGGCAGCATAAACTATGAACAGTAAGTTGCATTATTTTTCTTTCCCCCTTTCTCTGAGGTAACTTGGCAATTTCCTTTCTAGGAATACGAGCCTACCATTTTCTACCCCAAGCCATCTTCTAACCCTCTTTACCGGGATTTCATTACCCAATGTGAGAAAATGGATATCCCTTTTCTTTCTTATCTGCCAAACGAGGTGAGCGCTCAATTACCTTTGCAAAGGGCTATAGGTCCCAATAATTACAAGCGCGAGGTTAAATTTCTTATCAGAAAAAAGGACCAGGGGATAATGTTTTATTTCATTGACATTTGCGTTGAGCTGGTATTTTTATGTGCCTTTGCTCTGACTGATTAGAAATTTTATCCAGCCTTTTTCTTTTTTAAAGAACTCAAAGCAGCTTACATCATACTCCCCATGCTGTCATCCATCTTTTCCCCGCAACAACAACCCTGTGAGGTAGGCTGGGCTGAGTCTGTGATTGGCCCCAAGACACCCACTGGGCTCCATGGCTGAGCGGGGACTCGAACCCAGACCTCCTGAGCCCCAGACACATGCTCTTAACCTCTGCACCATACTGGTTCTCACCACTAGTTAATTGCATTTTTTATAGCAATGAAAACAAGTCTCAAATAAAGGGAAGGTCCAGATGGGTCGGGCTTACTTCATTATTGATAAGGGTATCCTATCCCTTTTTTTTGCATTGTTATCATCTTGGGTTGCCAATACTTATTCTTTTCCTTGTGTTAATTTATCGGAAGACAAGAGCATCAAAATTATATCAGGATTATTTAATTATATGAGAATGGCAGCAAAAAATCACAGAAGCTTCTGTTTGGCAGTCATCGGAGCCCTCAACCATTGAAGAACGGAGAAATAGATTAGCGGAATATGCAGTGACAGCAAAGCTAACTAACTGTGTAAATGGAAGAGTGTTAGAATAATTTAATGATAAATGGAAATGTTGTTATGCTCAGCATGACTATTAGAAGTTGAGGGGAGTCTGGAAAAGAAAAAAGAAAGCAGTAGAACTTGAAATGATTAGAAGATCTGTTGTTGCACAGATTAATTATTTCTTTTCTGTAAACTCTCAGAGAGTGCTGAAAGACAGGAAGAGCACAGCCTGTCTCACAGGGTTGTTGTTGTGGGGATAAGACTGTGAGCAGGAGGAAGAAAATTATGTAAGCTGCTTTGAGTTCTTTTTCAAAAATGAAATAAGGTGGGATATAAATCCACCTTATGAACAAACAAACAAACAAACATGTCAGTTAAATCCATACAATTCATACTCAAGCCTCTTGAACCCAAAATATCATCGACACAAGCAATGAAAAATCAAATCAATGGGAGTCAATTATCTTTGAAATATATATAACTGCTCCAGATAATTACTCCAGAGATGTATGTTATTTATTCTTGCAATTTTCTTACAATTTAATCAATGCAAACCTAGATTGTTTCATTAGATCCTACAGTAGCTAAACCTGTCTCTGGTTTGTACCACTAAAGAATACCTTAAGGATAAAATGAATTTGGTTCATTGTTGCCTGGACTGATTAGTTGATATTTCACATTTTTTCATCCACAGAACTATGTATGGAAGGACATTTTGAATATACTTGCTTGTATTTTAAGTAGTTAATTTCTATTTATTTCTACTTCTGTTTTTATATTTGGGTATAAGTATATACATATCTGATAATTATTTTGAGTTCTGCTGTTTGAACTAACCTTCCTATTATTTTTCAGGAATTTGCAAAATCATTTTCAGGAATTTTCAAAATTACAGACTGGAATTCCATTATGGTTCAGGTTTAACCAAGTCCCCTCCTAATCCTTTCAGCCTTTCATGTCCCCCAATTACCCTCCCATTTTATCTTTAAAACAGACAGGGGCTGGGGATGTTGCCAGACACTGAAAAGAGCTGGAGCCCAGTCCCAGAAAACATAAATCAGCCTCAAATTTGTGTATGATGACGGATCACTGCATGTGCAAATTTAGAAGCAATTACTAGCATATATTTAAATTTCATAGCAGGCAAAATCAGCTAATCAGTTTCTCATCCAAACAGTCTAAAATAAGAAAAGGAGAAACGTTTGCCAGGAACAAGCATGACTTCCAATGAATCCCTGGTTTTATAGCAATTTCCTGGATCTGAACAGCAGGAAAAGTTTTCGGTTAGTGGTACGGTGCAAGGATGTGGGCAATTTACAAAAACAGATCCTGTTGATTTGCTGGCTGCTGGGGAAGGCTTTGTGACGTCAGCACTTTCACCCTTACAAAGGAGAGATAGGTTTGTTTTGTTTTTCACATTGCAATTTTGCAAACTCTTCATGAAACAGAAGTCATTTACTTTAATCTTGTGGTGTTTCCTTGGAATAAAGCCACACACCCAAGCCAGGCATTATTAAAAATGAAAGGGTATTTCTGGAGAACACAAATTTAGGGATAAAAATCAAATCAGATGTTTCTGTGAAAATTATAGATTGGGACAAAAGCTAGCAAAACAAAACAAGCAGGGCTATGACAAACATTCATTTGCTTTGCCAGTTGACCCAACATTGGCAAGAAAACTCACAGGGAATGCTTGCCATCTTCCATCTTTATCATGGCAGTTGTTTCCCTGACTGGTAGAAAGCTTGGTCCGGTTTCTACCCCCACCCCTTTCTTTTGTTCTCTTTCATAGAACTATTCAAAGTAATCAGGGATCACACAAAGAATGTGATACAGCCAATCAGATTTTGTTTTATAGAAAAATGGAGTCCTACATTGAGCAGAGGATTGGACTTGTGGGCTTTATTGACCCCTTCCAACCCTACTCTTCTATGATTCCATGAAATGAAGTCGATTTAGAATGATGGCAAAGCTTCTGAGATTATTTACCCATGGAAATAAGGGGAATCCTTGCTCCCTCTTTTTCTTTCTCATGTCAGAATTCATTCTGCCCTGTATTAGTCCTCCCCAGTTCTGGTTTAACTGGGAGACTTTCTAAGATGAATTCAGGAGATGTGCCATGAGTGAGTTTTCAGTCTGCATTCATGATGCAAACCATATTTGCACAGTGGTCTGGAGAAAACCTGGAAACAGAAAACGGAGCAACAGAGTTCCTAAAGTGAGATTAGAATCATTTTGGAATTCTGGAATTCTGAGAGCTATTTGGGCGAGGAGAATTTTGGAAGGCTTCCTCCATAATTGGTTGCCTCCATTGTGGTTTTTCCACCAAACTCAACAGCCATGTCCAGTGCGGAGAAGGTTAGCCTGCCTTCTAACTCAGCCCTTCCCTATTGGCTCCACGGCGGACGGACAAAGCCCAGCCCATCTGGAGAGCCCCAGGCTGGGTAGAGCAAGAAGAGCCCGCTTTTATTTGCAGTGTGCCAGCCCTGGAAAAGGACTTGGTGGCGCTCCTGGTTCAGAACTGGCATTTAAATTCACCTAGAAGGCAAATAAAGTAAAATGTGCGTGTAACAGAATTAAGGGAAAAAAACTCTGGCTCTGAAATCATAACGGCAGCAAGTAACAATGTCGAAACAATTAAACCCACTAGACCAATAGTTCCCTGGTCAAAAAGAGAACTGGTGTCTGAAATAATTAAGAAAGGATGCCAGCCAGATCTCTGATGAAAGCAGCTCCCATAGCTGGGGTGCTATTACGGAGAAGTTTCTTCTCCTTGCTGTCTCCTCCTTTCCTTCATTTCTGGGGAGCAATATGGAGAAGGGGCTCCAGAGATAACCTCAGTGCTGGGGTTGGTGTATAGAAACAGGTGTTCCCTCAGGTATCTCTGCCCTAAGCCATTTAGGGCTTTAAATATTGCAAGCCCCTTGCATTGGGCCCAGGTGGCAACCAGCAGCCAATGTACCGGTTCGGGTTCAGGAGTGCAAGACTGGAGGGTTCACATGTATGTGTGAGAGAGAGCACTAAGGAAACCAGGTGAACACCAGGCGTAGTCCCGTCAAAGCTGCCCTTTCCGTGGAAAACTCTGTCCCTGCATCTCCACCAGTTTGTCTCCTCCCATCTCCTGGGCAGATTCAGCTCATCAGCGATGCCTACAACCTGGTGGTCGACGCCATGCTGGGTGTGGAGACCAGTCCTGAGGAGGTGTGTGAACCCTACCTCTCTATCTTGGGAAGCCTCAAGCAGATCCATATTCCACTCATCAGCCTGGACATCCCATCTGGTAGGTGTGCCTCGGACTTCTGGTTCTCCCTGGGTCACATGGGCGTGCCAGGTTGTCCGCTCCTTCCTCCAGATATCCCTGCAGCTGCAGCTTCTAATGATCTTCCCCTTTTCTTTACCGCATGCGGAGACTGGCCTTCTGTCAAGCAGCGAGGTGGCAGTCTAGCTCAGCAGGTGTTTGGTGCCTCAAATTAACACTGGTTCAGGTTGCTATTTCATTATTCCTGCTGGGGTTGTACTTGCCATATTTTTATCTTTAGTGAGAAATTTAAATTATCCAGCCTTGGATGCTATGAACCTTGATTAGCAGAGAGTTTGTTGGTGCATTTGTCTAAAATGCCCCATTTTCTTGTATCAGGCAGCAAAATTTCTTAGGCTCTCTTGGTCTAATCTTTGCAAGAACAGCTCTCAGTGCCAGTTAACTTTCTCCCTGGAGGAACGGGACAACACAGTCCTGAATCCAAGGCGCTGCTGTTCCTTTAGCCTGGCCCTGATCCATGACTTCCAGCATGCAAGGGATTGTTCTCCCCTGTGATTTCAGAGTGAGGTGTTCAGTCTGTTCATGGGGGGCTTAAAAATAGAGAGAGCCCCCAAGCTTCTTGCAGATATCCTCCAGTAGAGGAAGGACAGAGCTTGTGCACATATTCACCTGCCTTCTCAGCTTTTAGTCCTCCATAGAGATGATGATGTTGGAGTAAGTCGGAGGCAGAAGCAGAGTTCCTGGCCCCCTCCTTGAGCACTTTCCCCAGGCTACGAGGGAGGAGGCAGGGAAAGGAAATTACCTGTCATCCCAGATCACTCCTGCCCTGCGCTTTTCTCCTACTTCTGCCTATGTTGGGAACATGAAGAGCGAAGCATCGCTTGCAAAGGATGCAGCCAACTCAGGTTCTTGCAGGAGCTGTTGTGAGCTGCCTGCGAAATTCTCCTCCCCTTGAGGGCTGCTCACAGCCTGATGGAGATGCCAAGTCCCTTTCTCTGGGCTTCTTCTTCCCCTTGCACAGACTCTGGGCAGGCTGCACTGATGCCCCACGACTGGGCTTTGGTGCAGAATGCCGTTCTCTTGATGCTGCCTGGCTTGGTCCAGGAAAGCAATGCAGGATCTGAAACAAAATTTAAAAATACAGAGCAAGGGAGCAGTCTAGGCAGCCCTTCCCACCATGACTCCCACTAGCTGTGCTGAACTACATGCTCCACCAGTGTACATAGGGGATGATGGGAACTGCAATCAATACACCTGGAGGCCACTGACTTGGGGAAGGCAGTCCTAAAGGGAAAAAAATGTCCTTTGTGCAAACAAAGCCGTGCAATTTGGCAGCTCGGGATTCAGGGAAAACTGCAGAGACGCGTTGCAGCAATAAACCCAGTGGGAACCCGGGCATTCTTTATTTTATGAATAATACAGATCCTGATTCCAGCAGCATCCAACCCTCAGCATTGGAAGAACATGCTGAAGTCAGGCTGTTTTTGCTTCTGGCTTTGGGGGTGTCCTCATCCCCCCGCAACAAACCAAATTCGGTTTCCAGTGTTGGCTCTGCAGAACGGGACAGGTAGCGAGGTGGCCTTGGATGGGAGGACTTGAGAGCTGAGTTTTGGGTGGGTCCCTTTCCTCCCTGTAGGGACAGAGTGTTCACACCTGAGCTTCATCTTCCGCCCCCAGTTCATCCTTCAGCCCCCTGCCAGGTTGCAGTTCAGGGTCTTGGCGGAAGCAGTCGCCATCTGGAGAGGAGAGTTCTGTTGGAAGCAGGCTCAGCAAGAAGCAGGACTCTTGTCTCCCAAAACTGAGACATGATGTCATATTCAAACACTCTTTGCTGTGGCTGGCAGGCAGCCGCCGGGGCTGGTTTTGCCATCAGAGAAAGGAATGTACAGAGGCGAGGCTGAGAGAACTCCCTGTCTGAGCCACTCACAGAGTTTGCTTCCTACAGAAAGCAGCCCGAGAGGTCCTGTTGGGTGAGAGCGTGTGTTGATTTGGGAAAGGGCTGTGCCATGCCATGGCAGAGTGCCTCTTTGTGCATGGAGGTCTTGGGCTCAACCGCTTGGATTTCCAGGTCGGGCTAGAAGAGACCTTTGAGAGTTGGTGCAAACCATGGAAGGCCAGCTCTTATACCTGTGGATTTCCCATGGGACCCTCTATCTTGCCACGGAATGAACAGAAAGCCGGGTGACTGATGCTCCTAATTTATGGCATTCCCTGCTATAAGACATGAGGGCTTAGAGCAATTTTTAAGGATTGGGTTCCCACCTTTTGGGGTTGCCATGCACACCTGGAATGTTCAGAGTAAGTTGTGGGCACCGGGTTGGGGACCCTGAGCTGCCGACACTCAATGTGCCATGATAGCAAACCAGAAATGGCTGAGTTGGATGGTCCCTTGTGAATCTTTGGCTCTGCTTTTCCCTCCTGCTGCTGGTGTTCCTGGAGTCCATGTAATACGTAAAAAGCTCCAGATGTGGAAAGATTTTGAACCAGCAGCATCACCCTTAAACGCCTGCAAATTCATCAGTGACCTTCAGAACTTAGCTAAATGGAGCCTCCCACACACAGGGAGGTCTATCTGCAATCACCATGTGCTGGGCACAAGCAACAGGAGTGAAAAGCTGCAATGTGCATGTTAACTCTGATTGGGCAGGAGAGCTCTTTCTGATGCTTGCTTCTTTCTTAGATTTCCTAATCATATGTTTCCTTTATTAGAGTTCCTCAACTACTCCGTCCAAATTCTGAGCCAATCCTAGACCCACTGGCCAAATCTGAGCACAAAGTGAGAAGCCCATGATAAACTGTTTCCTTTAAAGTCCGTGTCCTCACCCTCTCCCTCTCTCCCCAGGATGGGATGTGGAGACCGGCAATGGGAATGGGATCAATCCAGATGTCCTCATCTCTTTGGGTGCCCCCAAACAATGCGCCATGCACTTCATGGGCAAACACCACCTGGTAGCTGGCCGTTTCCTGCCCTACGACGTGGAAAGGAAATTTGAGTTGAATTTGCCTGAGTACCCTGGCACGGAATGTGTTGCTTTTCTCTGAAGACCTGGATCGTGCAGCTGCTTTGGGGCTCCTTGTCACCCCAAATGCCCCCCTTTGCCAGATCTGAAGGGCAGCTTACCTTGCAATGCCTTCTTATTACCAATCCCATGTGTAGGCTTTGGAAAGTTAGCACAGCATAGCATAAAGACAGGACTGTTTTGCACAATATACTGGAGCCGCAGGACTCCGAAGTGCCTGGCTCCTTTGCAAGGGACCACTGGGAATTAAATTATAAAAGGAATGTGCACACATGTTTTAAAATAACCTTCCAATCATTTGCATTAAATGTTCGGCACACATTTTCTGTTAAGTCCTAAGCAGAACAGTGTGTGTGTGTGTGTGTGTGTGTGTGTGTGTGTGTGTGTGTGCGCGCATTCCCCTTTGTGGAAAGATTCCTCCACCAAAATCATGCCCTTTTCTCTCCCTCTTTCTTCCCACTTGTCTCCTCTGAGTCATCCTTTCCTGATGACTTGTGTCTTCATTTCAAAAAAGATGCAAGCAGGCTGGAAAGGGTTCCAGGGAGGGCAACAAGGATGAGCCAAGTCCTATGGGGAGAGATTGAGAATGGGGCATGTTTAGCCTGGGGGGAGAGGGCCACATCCTTCAAGTCACAAAGAGGAGGGCTGGGATCTCTCCTCCATCACCCCATAGTGCAGGGGACAGAATGACACACTCAAGTTTCAGGAAGCCAGGTTCAGGCTAGTTACCGTGAAAAATTTCCTGATTGTTACAGCAGTATGGCAATGGAACCAGAGACCTGGGGAGGTGGCGGGCTCTCCCACCCTGGAGGCCTTCAGGATGCAGCTGGACAGCCCTCTGAGAGGGATGGTGTAACCTGGGTCCTGCACTGACCAGGGAGTGGGACCGGCTGCCCCCCTTGGCCCATTGCAGTCCTGCTGTTCTCTGATTCCAATATCCTCTCCCCATACATTTAGGGCAAGATCATTATAAGGTGACATACAATCATAACTGCATTCCATAAACAGTCGCTGTAAGCAGAAACAGTTTTTGTAAGCAGAAATTTCCGCCAAATCCCCTCTCTGAATTTTCCTCTGACCAAAGTCAGGGCAAAGTCCCATTTTGCTGAGTTTCTCCAGCAGAGGTTACTCAGGAGTAAGGCTCAGCATTAGCTGCGACAGCTCATCTTCTCATCCCACAGGGTGTTTTCTCATGCCCTTTGCTGTCACTGCAAATGACAGCTGCTGTTTCTTTTACGGATAGCTGCAATTTGGCCTGCACCACAGTGCCATGAACACTGCTACTCCCAGCCCCAAAAATGAGATAGAGGAAGAGGTGAGGAAAAGGTCTGAGGATTTGCAAAGAAACAGTTTGTTGGCATAACATCATTTTTGACAGCTACCAGAAACACAGCATCCTAACTTTGGATTTGAAAAATGTTGGCATAGAAGGCAGAGTGCCTCTGGGAATATACAGAGTGCCTTTCCTCTAGAGAGAAGCAACATCTGAAGCTGATTTGGGCTGGGCTGGCTTCCAGCCCTTCAGGGTCTCTGCAGATAGGTAATGATTGTCTTAGTTTCAGACAGAGAAAAGCTTTCTCATTGCCTGCTCCCAGACTCTTTTTTACTTGAATATCCTTCAAATATAGGAGATTTCCATGCTCTGGATTTCTAATAGATGCATTTTTAAAAAGGACCCAAGGCTGCAGAACACATTGGACTGATGGGACAGAACAATCAGGTTCTTATTTTTCAGTGTTCTGTCCCATTGTGTCTGTATTACTGGTAAAGTTGGTGGGAGTTCTCAGATTGTGTGCAATCCAGCAGTGCAATTAATTTTAGGAATTCTAGCTAAGCTGGAATTCCAGGGGAGGGAACACAGGGCCAGGCAATGTTCCCAAATAATCACTTCTCTCTATCCCTGTGTTCCTGCCCATGTCCAGAGATCATCTGCAGAGTTTGGGGTCTGAGTGTTCCACATTTTGAGATCTGGTTGATGGTTACTTATTAGCAGGGCTTTTTGGTGATGGCCCCCAAATTGTGCAATGCTCACCCTGGACAGTGTAAGCCAATATTCTGACCCTTTTGTGCCTTGTAGAGGAATTTCTAATGGCTGTTTTACTCTGTGATTAACAAGTTTAATACCCTGTTTTAAAATGTTAGTTTCCCTTGTTTAAACTGCTTGCTGTTAATCTCTTTCCATTATTCTGCTTTGAAAACAGTCTTTTAGGATGTAATCCTAGGAATGCTTAGACAGGAAAAAACGCTTTACAAACATTGTTTGATGTTTTAATGGTCAAAATATGCATAGAAATGCTAGCTGAATGTTTTGGATTTTGTGGCATGTCGTTTTATTCTGTATGTTGTCCTAAGAACTGTGACTTGTTGTGACTTGTGCAAAACTTATTGTGGCTTGTGCAAAAATGGATGAATAAATGAATTAAAATAAAGGAAATGCACTGACTTTAAAGCTGATCGGAGTCTTCCATGCCCCTAAAGAGGGCTGGGTTGTTTGGGGAGGCAGAGTAGAGCATTTCAAACCCTACTTGCTTGGCTGCTCTGGGAACCGTCGGTTCTGAGAATGGCAGCAAAATGCCCAGGGGGCCCTTTTAGGCAAAAGCCGTTGACTCATCTCCTCTCTTGCTGAATGTGGGAGAGTCAGCCGGGTGGGTGGGGAGAGCTGCAGAACCAGAGAAGCAGAGCGACTGCACAAAGATTGGGGGGGGTGCTGCCAGGATGGAGGTAAGTCAACGTACCCCAAATAAGCACAAGAACTTTCTGGGGTTGCATCCTGCACTCCTGACACCATCCTTCACTACCCAGCTTTGCAAACTCCTACTGGGATGGAGATTCTCAGCTGGAGAACATGTTGGGGCTGTGTTCTCCGTACCAGCACAAAATATGCAAGTTGCACCAAGGCTGTTGGAAGGTTTGGAGTCGGGGTGGGTGGACGGTGTAGGAGAAGGGGTTAAGAGAAAGCGTCCGTGGGTGGAATTTTCATTTTTAATTCTATGCAAGTTTTCTCTGTGATAAATCCAGAAGTGTTCAGTGGAGCTTATACCCAAGGTTTCTGGGTCTGCAGCTTTAGGTTGCCATCAGAAACATATTTATTTTGGGAACAGATTTCTGAGTATCTAATTGAACTGTTCATTTATGGAGAAGATGAGTGGGGACATGATGGGAGATTGTCATTGTGTGGAAGCAAATTTATAGCGATGCTGGAAAACTGGGGAACAAAATGCAACAGGTGGGCAGGGATGAATGCAAGGACAGCACGTTTGGGTTCTCTGCTCTGTCCCCTTAGAGCAAAGAGTAGAAAATCTGTCACCAAGAGAAATTGAGGAACGGAGTATTATGACTGGAATAAAAATACAGCTTCATATTCAGGAGGACCGAGCAGTCCTCAGTATAATAGGCAATTTCAAGACCCCTCTGGTCCATTCTTACACTGAAGCCAGAAGTGGGGTGAGACTCCTTCAGAGCAGACTGCCCTATTTAAGCCAGGGCGGTCCTGCCTTTGAAGGCCTTCTCTGTGAGATTAAAAGACCAAGCACCCTAAAAGAAGAGACCGGGGCCCCCAAAGCTGCCACTTGCTTAGCCAGACTGGAGAGAAGACTGCAACAGCACAGAGACTCTTGAACCTTACATTTCTATGATGTACGCTCTCTGAGCAATTCAGAACATACTACACTGGGGAGGTTCAGAGATCAGTGGATAATCCAGGAATCATGGCTAAGAGATTCCCATCTGCACAGCACTCACAAATCGGTGAACAAACGGATTATCTGAGCCTGCGAACAGAGTTTGTTGTGCCCCAACAAGTCAGAACCATAAGCCAGCTTTAAACCAGATTGATTATTGACCAATGGATCCTGGCTTGCTTGAGCACAATGAACCACAGTCCCAAGCTCAGAGGAAAGTGTAAGCCATCCAGAGCAGCAACATTTTCTAAATTTGAATCTGTACAGCTTGCATGCAAAGCTGTGTCATCTTTTTGTCCCCTACATGCATTGTTGTTGTTGCTGCTGCTGCTGCTGCTGTTGTTGTTGTTGTTGTTGTTATGATTTTGCGATGTAGACGCAGTCTCACAGCAAGCTACCAGCTTAGAAGTTTAAAAGGATATCTCAGAAATATAACCCATTCACTTGAATGATATCTTGGGGGAGGGACATAGTAATTATGGGAGATTTCAGTCTCCCGGATATTACTTGGGAGACTCACTCGGTGGTGACAGCCAGGTCACGTCGCTTCCTAGAAGCAACAGAGGGAGGGTTTTTCACACAGAGGGTCCAAGAGGCGACGAGGGGGGGAAACATTGTGACTTGGTCTTGACCAACAGGGAAGAGTTGAAAGATGGGGTACAGATTAGGGGAGCTCAGGATGCGAGTGGTCCCTCCATCCTTTGCTTTGAGATCAGGGGACTGGGGACGTGCAGCAGGTCGAGCACTAGAAGCTGGGACTTCAAGAGGGCCAACTTTGGCCATTGAAGGCCAGACTGGGGAAAGTCTCCTGGGACAGGTTACTGGAAGGCAAGGGAGTTGAGGAGGGGTGGATGGCACTCAAAAGGGAGGTTTTGGAGGCGCAAGCCTTGACGATACCTCTAGTCAGTAAGGTGGGGAGGCGGAGGAGAGGCCGCCATGGATGCGAAAGGAGGTGGTTAGAGGGATTAGATGAAAGAGGAACCTCCGTAGGAAATGAGTACTGGGGCAAATAGACAAAAGGGTATACCGGGAGGAGAAGGATTCTTCGCAAGGCTAAGGCTGATTACGAGCTGAGACTTGCCAAGAATATCAAGAGCAACAGAAAGGGCTTCTTTCAGCATGTAAATAGGAAGAGGAAGGGGAGACAAGTGGTGGGACCACTAAATAAGGAGGAAGGAGATCCAGTGACTGATATGAGGGAACAGGCACAGATGTTAAACGACTGTTTTGCCTCTGTGTTCTCCCCAAAGCAGGACAGGGGATATCCACATGGAAGATTAGATGAGGCTGGGGACTTAGGGGCACAGATTAGAGTCGCCCCCCCCCCTTGAAGTTGAGGGGCTCCTCAGGGCATTGGGCATTACAAAGGCACCAGGCCCTGACGGGTTACACCCGAGAGTACTCAGAGAGTTGGCAGGGGTTCTCTCACGCCCACTGGCCTCCATTTTTGAGGCCTCGTGGAGAACGGGTGAAGTTCCAGAGGACTGGAGGGTGGCGTCAGTGGTCCCAATTTTCAAAAGGGGTAGTAGAAGGGACATGGGGAATTATAGACCTGTTAGACCGGTTAGCCATTGTAGGAAAAACAATGGAAAGACTCATAATAGAGAGAGATTTAGTGATGCTAGATAGGGGAGGGAGGCTGGCGGCCAACCAGCACAGCTTCCGCAAAAACAGGTCCTGCCAGACAAACCTTGTGGAATTCTATGACAAGGTGGCTGGATGGAGGGGATGCAGTGGATGTGGTTTACCTGGATTTCAGCAAGGCCTTTGACAAAGTGGCCCATGATATCCTGGTGGAGAAACTGAGGAGGTTTGGGATACACCAAAGCACTGTCCGGTGGATTAGGGCATGGCTGACTGACCGAAAGCAGAGGGTAACCATTGGCGGGGAATCATCGGGATGGCGGCCAGTGAGAAGCGGGGTCCCCCAGGGCTCTGTCCTGGGGCCAATCCTGTTTAATCTTTTCATTAACGACACGGAAGGAGGGGTGAACAGTCTGCTGATCAAATTCGCAGATGACACTAAAACTGGAGCAGTGGCCACAACTGAGGAGCAGGTACTCCAGACCGAAAAGGATCTGGACAGACTATGGAAGTGGGCAGGAGACAACAGGATGGCGTTCAATGTGGATAAGTGCAAGGTCTTGCCCTTGGGGCATAGGAATGGGTGCCGTAAGTACAGGTTGGGGGACAACTGGCTGGAGAGCAGCGCTTGTGAAAGGGACCTCAGGGTGCTGGTTGACTGCAGGCTGAACATGAGCCAGCCGTGTGATGCGGTGGTCAAGAGGGCGAACGCCACCCTTGGTTGCATAGCCAGAAGTGTGGCTTCTAGAGCGAGAGAGGTGTTACTACAACTCTACACAACTCTGGTGCGCCCGCAACTGGAGTATTGTGCTCAGTTTTGGGCCCCTCATTATAGAAAGGATATAGCAAGGTTGGAATCGGTGCAGCGAAGGGCCACAAGGCTGGTGGCCGGTTTGCAGGGGAAGCCGTATGAGGCGAGACTGAGGGAACTGGGCCTCTTCAGCCTGGAGGAGAGGACACTCAGAGGAGACCTGTTGGCGACATGCAGGTATGTGAGGGGGTGTCCCACAGAGGTGGGCAGAGACCTGTTCTCCCCTGCAGAGGAGGGCAGGACACGATCCAACGGAGCCAAGCTCAGGGAACCCAGGTTCCACTTGGATGCCAGGAAGCACTTCCTGACAGTTACGACCCCGAGGGTGTGGGATGCGCTTCCACGGGAGGTGGTTGAGGCCCCATTGGTGGGGGTGTCCAAGGATAGGCTGGACATGCACATGGGGGGCATGTTGTGAGCGGAGCCGGCTGGAGCCGGGGGTCAGCCATGAGACCCAACTCACTCTGTTTCTGTGTTTCTAAAAGGCAGGAGCTATGCCAATTCATCCCTGCTCTATGAGTGACTATAATAAATTGAGCCTCCAAGTCCTGGGGAAGTCCATCTTTGCATCTCAAACACTGGGGATAAGCCACAGGGGATGACAGACCATTGGAGGTACCTTTAAAAGTGAATTTTTAGGTGAATTTTCAGAGAAGCAGCAACTGTGGGCTTTTCAAGGGCAGCTCAGCAGTCTGCCCTTGACTGGGGATGATGGGAGTTGTTGTACAACAATTTGGGAGGGGCCCAGGTTGAGGAAGGCAGTCTCTGAAGATTCCAAAAGGATTATTGAATTTTCTCCGGATGAGAAAATGAGAGAAGGTCTCCCTTCCTTCCCTCCCTTAATTTTTCATTTTAACAATAAGGCGATAAATCAACTCTATACATGTCTGGTACTGGATATTAGGTCAAACTGCAGTCCCTCTTGGAGCGGAGGAAGAACTAGGAGGGTTCTTTTGAACCAGCCGACCCTGGCAGCAGCGTTGCTTGGCGTGGAAAAGATTCAGGGTGGCCCCCACTCCAAGGACATAATTCCACGTAAAATTCATTTCTGCTGCTCTCTATCCAGGGATATTTAGGAATAATTATAGGTACTTGTTTAAGTTTCAGTGGTGGCAAATGCGGCCAGTTAATTTCTCAGACATGCAATCTCCAATAAATGGGTCAGTTAATTTTGCCTTGCTCTAGCTAGCTCCAAACCAATGGAAAAAGTTTTTTTTTATTCCCCAAGTTTAAGTGCATTGCCGAGGAAGATTTTGTAGGGCCTGTGCCAGTGGCGAGCCCACCCTTTCCTAGCTTCAGTTTCACTTGAAAACCACCCTTTGCATGGCAGTTAAACGGCATTAAAAAAAGAAAAGGCTAGCAGCAGCGCCCTGGTAAACTTAAAGGCCTTGAGAAATAGATTCGGGGTTGTGGCCCATAGGTCCAAGCCTAATAATCCACAGGTCGGAAGCCTTCAGGTGTAGAGGAGTAAAACTCCCATCATTCCCAGACAGGGTGGGGGACAATCAGGAATTCCTGAGCACTGGCTTTGGGAGAGGAGGAGAAAACTGCTCCTCTTTACTTTCGCTGTGCATTTTTTTATGCACAAATGCCCCTGACATTAAAGAGCCCAGATGCCCGAGGGAAGATTCACCAGCCTTCAGATA